TGTTTAGAACTGCTCTGACGATTGCGAGAAATAGGACCACTGACACTTTTTTTCTTTTTTTCTTCTTTTTCCTTTTTTTTTCTTTTTTTTTAACTTCGATTAACTTTCTGTTTAGAACTGCTCCGACGATTGCGAGAAATACAGGGAGTGTGTGCAATGTCAGCAGTACCAAACCGGGAATTTGACCGAGGAGGAGTGCAGAAAGTGTCCCTTTACACCCACATCGGCACGAGTTGTTGAAGGTGAGAATTTCAAACTTTTTTTTGTTAACCAAGTCACGAACGTAGCGAGTAGGGAATTTTTTTGGGAAGAAGATAAACATTATTTTTTTACTTACTCTTAAAATTTATTTAAAAAAGTACATTTTTAATCACAGTAGTAGAAAAAATTGTTAAAGCGATTTTACAAGAGCCGAGCTTATAAACGAGCAAGCGCCAAGGCTGACTATCATGAATATAATAATTAAAATCATGGCTAAAGGCTTTTCCTCCTCTTCAGTGGCACTGAAAAATAAATTAAAATTGAGAGATTTGTTTAAAAACTCAAAATCAAATGAGTGTTTTAACGGCTATTAAAGTACTCAAATTAGAAACTGAAAAAACTCAAAATCAAATGGGTATTAAATACAGATATTAAATAATAGATTTTAAAGCACTCAAAAAACGAAGAATCAAAAGAGTGTCTTAATGGTTATTAAAGCACTTAAATTAGAAACTGAAAAAATGCAAAATCAAATGAGTGTCTTAATGTCCATTAAAGTACTCAAATTATGAAACTGAAAAAATTCGAGTGTTTTAATAGCGATTAAAGCACTCAAAAAACTTAGAATCAAATGAATGTCTTAATAGTTGTCAAAGCACTCAAAAAATGTAGGATCAAATGAGTGCACTGAGTGCACTCAAATTATGAAGAATTATGAAACTGAAAATCGCAGAATCACCGTTAAATTAAAGGTGTGTCTTAATAGCTATTAAAGCACTCAAATTATGAAAAATTATGAAACTAAAAAACGCAGATTCAAATGAGTGTTTTAATAGCTATTAAAGCACTCTTTTTTTACTCACAGTGGTATGTGGATGACGCACAAGTTGACTAGATATCCATTCGTGAAAGCGAAAATAATAACAAAAATTATGTAGGCATAATCTTGGTCGAAAATGACCGGTAGGTGGCTTCGGGGTTGGGCATTACATAGCATAAACATTGGAACAAAACACGCTCGGAGGAGGCTTGCTATGAAAATTATTAGACCACTTTTGGGCTAAAAATGAAATTTTTTGTATTTCTGTAATTTTTTGTTTTTTTTTTTTTTACTTTTTTCCAATATCCTGCGACTTCCCTGCCCATGTAGTCGAATGAAAAATGTAGTAGAAACGTGATGACTGGTACAAAAAACACATCTGGAAGTATATACATAATAAGTGCTTTAGTGCCTAGGCTGTAAAGTGACTTACCGTTCCATTTCTTCCCGTTTCCTTTACCAACCGAGACGACGAGTGATAACAACCCCGGATGTAGCATAATCGTGCACCCCAAGACAATTATCATGGAACCCAAATAATACTTAACCTTGTTCAAAACCGATAAAAACAAATTTTTCGTCATTTTCGGTTTAACCGTTTCGACTTCTTTCGTAATGTGGTAATTAAAAAATTGTGATTTATTCAAAGTTGCGATGAAACCGGTTAGTGTCAGGAAAATGAAAAACATTCCGATGGAAAAATAGGTTAAACCGCTGGTTTTTGAGCTAGCGCCGATACTTAGCGAGAAAATTTGAACGAGCGCAGCGAAAATACCACAGAGTGAGTGGCCCGAAAGCATGGCGGCGAGATAAACCGGCGGGAAGCGGGTCACGAGTTGGAAAAGTGACACCATGAAGACGGCGCAAAAACCTTCGAAACGTGTAATTAGGCGAAATTTTGACAGTTAAGTGACGTACCTGTCAGGAGGAAGCCGATCACTAAAGTTGCGATGAAAAAACCGCGCTGCCCTGAAAATGATTTTCGTGACCAACGGGGTAAACAAATTTTTTTAAGTATACATCAAGGCCCGGAAATAAGTGACAATTTTTTTTTAAAAAAATTACAATTTTGACATTTCAAAAATAGAAGTGGAAAAACGATTTCATAGCTAGCGTTGTCAACGATTTTTTACATTGCCGACGATTTTTTTTTGATACGCTTATGCGTTAGAAATTTTTTGAACTTGTAACAGATTAAAATTGGTTCCATCCATCCATTTTTTAGTAAGACCCGAAATAAGTGATAAATTCATCAAAAAACAAAACGTTTTTTTTTTAAATTTATTTTCTTCGAAAACTGATAATTTTGACTTAATAACAGAAAAAATGTCATAATTTGTCATAGCACTAGCTATTTTATCATTGACAAAGATAAAGGTTGTTTTCGTGGCTAACATAAACAAATTTTTTCAATATATACCAATGCATGGAAATAAGTGACAATGACTAATAAATGTATTATATATTTTTTGACTTTTTTTCAAAAAAATTGACAATTTTGATATTGGAAAATAGAAATATAAAAATAATTCTATACCTGGCGTTGTCAAACAGAATTTGACAACGATTTTTAACATTGCCGACGATTTTTTTTTAACAATTGACCTTGAAAGAGGTAAAAATTGTTTTCTGACCCACTGTATAATTTTTTATCTTTTTTATTATTTAGTAAGACCCGAAAATGAGTGCCAAATTAAATCATTAAAAATAAAAGTCGTTTTATAGTTTTTGGTTGTTTTTTTTCAATTAATTTTCTTTGTAAATAGTTACAATTTTGACTTAAAAATAGAAATTGAAAAATGCTTTTATTGATGGCATTGTCAAAATTGCCATAATTTGACAATAAACTTTAGCAATGCTTTTTATTGTTTTGAAACTGTCAAAAAAAGACCTGAAAATAAGTGACAAAATCATCAAAAAACAAAAAGTTTTTTTTAATTATTTTTTTTCGAAAACTGATAATTTTGACTTAAAAACTGGAAATAAAATACATAATTCTATTCGTAGTGTTGTCAAAAATGTCATAATTTTATAGCATTGTTGATTTAAAACTGTCAAAAAAATTGTAACACTAGCAAAGATCTTTTATCATGGACAGAGATAAAGGTTGTTCTCGTGGCTAACATAAACAATTTTTTTTCAATATACATATAGCAATGCATGGAAATAAGTGACAATGACTAATAAATGTATAATATATTTTTTGACTTTTTTTCAAAAATATTGACAATTTTCATATTGGAAAATAAAAATATAAAAATAATTTTATACCTAGCGTTGTCAAAATTGTCAAACACAATTTGACAACGATTTTTAACATTACCGCCAATCAGCCATCTTTTGACGTTGAAAGAGGTAAAAATTGTTCTCTAACCTACGGTATAATTTTTTCTTTCTTTTACATTATTTAGTAAGACCCAAAAATTAGTGCCAACTTAAATCATTAAAAATAAAAGTTGTTTTATAGTTTTTTTAATTAATTTTCTTCGAAAATAGGAGTAACAATTTTGACTTAAAAACAGAAATTAGAAAATAATTTTGTTGGTGACATTGTCAAAAATGTCATAACTTGACAACAAACTTTTGCAATGCTTTTATTGTTTGGAACTGTCAAAAAATTGTCACACTAACAGCGATTTTGTACCATTGACAGAAATAAAAGTTGTTTTTGTAGCTAACGGTGTAAACAACTTTGTTCATTATTTCTTCCAAAAATTTGACAATTTTGACTTTTGAGAACATGGAAATAGAAAAATAATGCTATAGGTGGCGATCTTGAAATTGTCAGATTTTCAATTTTGACAACGACAGAGATCAAATAGTTTTTGTAGTAAAAAGAAATACAGAAAACAACATTTCATGTCAATTTATCTGACATATGTCATATTTAATACTACTATAATTCTGAAACACATACCTGTCAAAAATTTGACATCTCTGATATCAGAATTAACAAAATTGACACATGACTGGTATTTTGATTAAGTTTTTTTAATTTGTTAGCAATGTACTTATTTCTGAGTCACGCTGTATAGATAGATAAAAAGTAATATTGACTCAAAACCACTTACACTCGTCCGTATCAACCTGTACAAACACACAGGTGATCGCAAACATAACTAGAGCGCCACACAGCGCCCCCATAATCCGTTTCACTAGACTTAATCTCTTCAAAAAAATAATAGTGACGACCAAAAAACACACATTGCTCACATTGGACACTATGGAATAGTCGGCGACGAATTCGGCTTGCATTCCGGTCCTGTTCTGTTCCGTGTAATTACCGTGAAAGTCCGGGTCCCGAAATTTATACATCCAGTACTAAAACCCGGCCTTAAGACGAATCGGAAGTTAGTTTCGAGTCACTTACGTCGGTGGCAGTGGGAAAAAAGTGGGTGGGAATGACGGAAGCCACCCCAAGAGAGTAAAACAAAACAATTGCCATGTGGTACTTATCCTCCATCTTGTCGGGGGGGTTTTCGGTGGAGAGCATCTGGTCGGTGGGGCCTAAAACACTGATTAAGCATAAAAGTCGAATTTTTTTATATAAGACAACCTCCATTGTCTTCTTCTTCGCGTGTCATTATTTGCTCGTGTCTTAACCGGTGTCAGATTTTTCTCGGTTGAGATCATGTCAAAATGTGATAAGATAAGATAAAATTTGTATTTGTATCTAGTTGTCGAGGAAATCGGCGAGGTTTTATGCCCGTTTCACGACGAATAAAAAGATCAAATTTGTGTCTAGTGCTAAGAAAAATCTAGGGGTTTATGTCTGTTTTATGATCAAATGGCGGGGTATATGCGTGTTTTTATGATCAATAAAGAGTTTAGACGAGGAAAACGTCAAGGTTTTATGCCCGTTTTGCGACGAATGAAAATAAAAAAATTGTTGCTAGTTGACGAGAAAAATAGCGAGGTTTTATGCCTGTTTTGTGACGAATAAAAACGTAAAATTTGTGTCTAGTTGCTAAGAAAAAAGGAGGAGTTTTATGCCTGTTTTATGATCAAACGATGGGGTTTTATTCTTGTTTTATGATCAATAAAGAATTGAGTTTACAAGAAAAACGATGAGGGTGTATGCCTGTTTTGCGACGAGTAAAAATAAAGTTTGTTTCTAGTTAACAAAAAAATGGCGAGGTTTTATGCCTGTTTTACGACGAATCAAAATAAAAAAAATGGTTCTAATTGAGAAAAATGACGAGGTATTATTTTTGTTTTGCGACGAATAAAAACGTATAACATTTGTTTCTGTAGTTTTATGCCCGTTTTGCGACGATTAAAAAATAAAATATTTGTCAATTGATAAATATGACAAAAAACGATGAGGTTTTATGCCTGTTTTGCGATGAATAAAAAAATTGTTTCTAACTGTCAAGAAAATGGCGAGGTTTTATGCTTGTTTTATGATCAATGGAGTCGAGTTGACAAGAAAAACGACAAGGTTTTATGCCTGTTTTGCGACGAATAAAAATGAAGAATTTGTTTCTAGTTGATATGAAAAATGGCGAGGTTTTATGCTTATTTTGCGACGAAATTTTTGTCAATAGACAAATATAACGAGCAAAACGGCGAGGTTTTATGCCTGTTTTTACTACGAACAAAAAGATAAAATTTATGTCTAGTTGAAGAAAAAAAGGAGAGGTTCTATGCCCATTTTACGACGAATAGAAATTAAAAAATGTTTTTAATTAACGATGTAAACGGTGAGGTTTTTATGCTCGTTTTATGACGAATAAAAATATAAAATTTGTGTTTAGTTGACGGGAAAAACGACGAGGTTGTATGCACGTTTTACGAACAACAAAAATGGCGAGGTTTTATGCCTGGTTTGCGACTAATAAAAACCTAAAATTTGTGTTTAGTTGCTGAGAAAGATGGAAGGGTTTCATGCCTGTTTTATGATCAAACGACGGAGTTTTATGCTTGTTTTATGATAAATAAAGAGTCGAGTTGACAAGAAAAACGACGAGGTTTTATGCCTGTTTTACGCCGAATAAAAATAAAAAATTTCTATCTAATTGATAAGAAAACTGGCGAGGTGTTATGCCTGTTTTGCGACGAATAATAAGAAAAAAAAATTCTAATTGAGAAAAATGACGGGGTTTTATGCCTGTTTTACTACGAATGAAAACGTAAAATTTGTTTTTGTAGTTTAATGCTCGTTTTACGACGATTAAAAAAATAAAATATGTGTCAATAGACAAATATGACGAGAAAAAACAGCCAGGATTTATGCCTGTTTTTACTACGTATAAAAAGATAATTTGTATCTAGTTGAAGAAAAAAAAGAAGAGGGATCATGTCCATTTTACGACGAATAAAAATTAAAAAAAAATGTTTTTAGTTTGTGAGGTTTTTTATGCCCGTTTTATGACGAATAAAAAGATCAAATTTGTGTCTAGTTGCTCTAAGAAAAACGGAGGGGTTTTATGCTCGTTTTACGACTAATAAAACATCAAATCTGTATTTTTTTGACGAGAAAAAAGCGAGGTTTATGCCTGCTTCACGACATATAGAAAGATGCGATTTGTGTCTACTTGACGAGAAAAACGGCGAAGTTTTATGCTTCTTTTTCAAATAATAAAAAATGCGTTTATTTCACAAGAAAAACGACGAGATTTTATGCCCGTTTTATGTAAAAGAACAAAATTTTTGTCTATTTGACTAAAAAACGACGAAGTTTTATGCCCGTCTTACGATATGCAGATAAAATTTGTTTCTAGTTGACGAGAAAAACGGCGAGATTTTATGCTTGTTTTGCGACGAATAAAAACGTAAAATTTATTTCTGTAGTTTTATGCCCGTTTTATGTAAAAGAACAAAATTTTTGCCTATTTGACGAAAAAACGGTGAAGTTTTATGCCTGTTTTACAAATAATAAAAAGATAAAAGTTGTGTTTATTTGACAAGAAAGACGACGAGGTTTTATGCCCGTTTATATAAAAAAACAAAATTTTTGCCTATTTGACGAAAAAACGACGAAGTTTTATGCCCATTTTACGACGATATGCAAATAAAATTTGTTTCTAGTTGACGAGAAAAACGGCGAGATTTTATGCCTGTTTTACGACGAATAAAAATAAAAAATTGTTTCT